AAACCGGCTCCGCCGGGGAAGTCAAGCCCCGCGCGGTCCTCCCGCGGGGCGCGGGCATCTCGGCCCCACGGGCGCACAGATTCTGGGGAGCGCCTGCTTTCTGCAGCTTGGAAGGGCCTCTGCGTGCGCAGGCACCCTCGTGGGAGACTTGGCTCCTTGAGATAGGGCAGCGGTTGCCGCCAGGCCCGGGCAGGTGGCAGGAGGGCAGCCGTGCCGGGGCAAATAGGCCCAAGGTCTTCGTGACACGGGATCACGTGACAGCTTACTGACAACGAGGCCGAGAGTCCATCGGGACTGTCCCCGTCAGGTTGGGCAGAAATAGGGAAATGTACCGATTGGACTGGGCCTTGACTCTTCCGGAAGAGCAGGGACGAATACACAGCCTGTGTGGAGGTAGAAGGAGGTGTGGAATCAGGCACCCGGTCCCCACTGCTGTCCACTTGTCTGTGAGTTTCTGAAACGCATGTCATCGCCGTCTGGGAGAGTGGAATGATTTCTTGGGCGAATTAGGTGGTCTTCTGTTTTCAAATGTAATTTATTGGCATAACAATGAGCTTACTAAACAGACCCAGAAATTATTACAAGATCCTATAACCCGTTTTAAAAAACAATTGGAAACATGCTGTATGTCTGATTTTCCCCGTTTAGACAACGCTACATATGATCGCTTTTAATGGACAAAAGCCACAGAAAGGTACATTTAGCTCTACTCTCATTTTAAAAGAGGCTGTTGTTTGAAGTAATGAAACTTCATTGCTGGATTTCATTCCCTGTTTTGCACAGAACTCCTGTAACCCTCAGAAGGACGGTGTCTTAATTATATGCTTTTGTATTCACTGGTGAAAATGACCGAACTCCATCCTGTCTCCTCTAGACCAAGTCGAAAAATGTTGCAGTGTGGCTGGGCTCGGTGGCTCAGCCTGTCATCCCGCGCTTTGGGAGGCCGAGGTGAGTGGAGTGCCTGAGGCTGCGGGTTGGAGATCCGCCTGGACAACTTGGCGAGACCCCATCTCTACAATAAATTCAAAAAAAAAAAAAATGAGCCAGACATGGTAGCGCGTGCCTGTGGTTCCAGCTACTCGGAAGGCTGAGGCGAGAGGATCGCCGGAGCCCAGCGGGTCGAGGCTGCGGTGGCCGGGAGCGGCCGCTGCACTCCAGTCTGGGCGACAGAGTGAGACTCCAACTCCAAAAAAAAAAAAAAAAAAATGCTGCAGTCTTCTTCAATTCTCTTCTCTTGCAAGTGCTGCCCAGAAATGAGATATGTGCTGGTGTCTGTTGTCATCATTGTCACAGCAACGCTGAGTGTGCCTGGCATGTCAGCCCTGTTCTAAACAATACATATGAACTCCTTGAACCCCCGAACAACACTTTGCAGTAGATATATTACTATATACTATTTAGAGAGAGTGCCTAAAGTCACTAAGCTAGTAAATGGCAGAGCCAAGACTGGGATCCAGGCAGTCTGGCTCCCAAGTCCCGGTTCTTAACTTCTCTGCAGCAATGAATTTGTGTCTGTCATTCCAGAACCCAAGAAGTGCTCTTTGTTTGGTTGAGCACAGGGTCTCTGAGCTATGGGAATTACGACTGATTCAATCTCATCGTAGGTCCAAATGTCAACAGATGTTCTTTCTGGTTTATGGGAGTTTTGAAGCAAACAAAACCATCACCATGAAAGTGATTGTCACATCAAAGCACACATAACTTCCCCGGTGTGTCTCTACTGTGTTTCTCAGTAAGAGCTCAACTGATATTTATTCATTAAATTTTCTTGAATGTTCCATGTTCCATGTCAAATGTAGGAATAGTTATTCATCTTAGGAAGGAGAAAAACCAGCTCAGAACAAGGAAGCCAAGGTAGAGCTTCTCAGAATTGAGAATGGGGTGAGTGTCTCAAAGCCTGGCAGCGTAGGCTGATGAGAACAAGTCAGTCATTTATTATCAAGTGGCCTTAGCTTCCTCCCTGCAGAAGGTGTGGCTAGTGCTTACTTTCACCACTCCTCCTTCCTGGGCATGCAATAGTTTCCTATTCTAAGACCCCTTGGAGTTGAGCGGTAATGTGAGTGGAAATATCATGCATTGCTTCTGGGCTGAGGCAGTGCTAACCCCTGCGTGGTTCTGTGCAGCTAACATGGAGATGTTGGAGTCACAGAACGAACACACTCTGAATCACACCACCTGGAGAACAGTGGCCTGGAGCGCCGCCCAGATTGTAGTGGACTTTGCATGCATGAAAAGGTACATTTTTGTTGTGCTAAGACACTGAGAGTGAGGGGTTGTTTGTTATTGCAGCAAAACCTAGCCTACCCTGGCTAATATACTCCCCTTTCCTTATCTCCTAGGTTTCCTTTTCTTGTGCAGGCCACTTTTTACTCTTACATTCTTCAACCAGTGTTTGCTTGTTTTTTTAATCACTTCTCCCACACCCCTGTCATAATTTTTTTCTTCTGGAGCCAGGAGGTTTGCGGTTGTATGATAGTATGCAGGCAATGCGTGTATTTTGCCTGTTCTTCCCTGCCCTCTTCCTTTTAAAGAAAAACTTAAAATACAAAACAGAAAAAAAAGATAAACATCCCAGCTCCCACCACCCAGGATTCACAATTGTTAAAATTGTGTCACCTCTGCTCAGATTTTCTTTTTCTTTTCTTTTTCTTTTTCTTTTTTTTGAGTTGGAGTCTCACTCTGTCGCCCAGACTGGAGTGCAGTGGCCATTCCAGGCCACTGCAGCCTCGACTTGCTGGACTCCAGCGATCCTTCCGCCTCAGCCTTCCAAGTAGCCAGAACTACAGGAGCATGCTACTACGCCTGGCTAATTTTTTTGATTTATTGTAGAGATGAGGTCTCACCAAGTTGCCCAGGAGGGTCTAAAGCCTGTGGGCTCAAGCAGTTCACTCACCTCAGCCTCCCAAGGCACGGGATTACAGGCTGAGCCACCGAACCTGGCCCAGATTTTCTTTTTTAATAAATTAAATAAAAGGTTACAGTCATAGTTGGAGAGCTCACTCAGTGTCCACCCTCCTCTGCAGTCCTGTTTGCATCACACACGTGCCCCTGCCCACATGATTGAGGTCCCTGCTAATATGAATGTGGGTGCTTCCCTGAGTCCTTTTTGTGCTTTTACACACACACACACACACACACACACACACACACACACAACACACACACACACACCATGGTCTGTATTGTTTAATGTACATGAAGAACACCTAAACTTGATTTTTTATTCTGAATGATATGCTACAATTTGCTACAGTGAGATAAATAAATAAATAAATAAATATATATATATATATATATATATATATACACACACACACATACACACACACACACACACACACACACACACACACACACACACACACATTTTGTAATAGTCCATCATATGAAATCTCACATTTTGCTATCCATTTCCTTGTTGATGGACATTCGGGTTGTTCCAGTTTTTCACTCTCATGTCCAAAGTTAACATCCTTTCACATACCTCCTTGTGCCCATGAATGAGAGTTTCTCTAGGGAATATAACAAGAAGTAGAAATGTCAGGTCATAGCAATGTGGATTTTCAGTTTTGCTTGGTATTACCAAATGGTTCATAAAGTGGCCAGACCAGCTTATACTGATGGCAGCTATTTCTAACGCTTGCATTTTGCACTCACATCTGTGTCCTGTGGCCTAGTCCAGACACCACCTGGATGATTGTGTTTTTCATTTTCAAGCTGTAAGGTTTTGCAAAAAAGACATACTGTAAAAAAAAAGTAAAACAAGTCATAAAGGTACAAGGAATACGGTAATAATCACCTGAAATCCTACCACCTAGGGAAAACCACCGATAGCATTTTCGTAAATGCCCTTCCGAACATTTCTGATGGAAGGGGACATGCTGTATACATGAACACCAGCTGTGCTAGTAGTCTATTGCCTGTCTTTCCACTCAACTGTATGTCATGAACACCTTGAGATAGTTTCCCAAAACTAAATAAACCCTGTGGTTTCCTTTGGCTTGGAGTTGCTTCATGGTTAGAAGATGAGAGGGAGAGAAAGGAGGAAAGAGAGTTAACAGTGGTGAAGGGCTTGTTATTGCAGCAAAACCTAGCCTATGCTGACTAATATACTCACCTTTCCTTGCCTCCTTGGTTTCCTTTTCTAGTATGGGCAGTTTGCCAGCCCCCTTTGTTCTTAATCAGATTTCCTTGTCCCAACCATCCTGGGTAGCAAGTGCTGCTCCTCACTGCACAGACAAGGAAATTACTGTCACAGCAGTGAGAACCATGCTGTGCCAATGACCTCCTCCCCACCACCCACCTCCTGCCAGGCTTTCCCAGTCCTCTGTGGGTTGCAAAGGGTGAAAAGAATCGGAAGACTTCGAAGATACGAAACCCAGGTCTCACCACAACCTTGGTGAAGCCAACAGGGGCAAGAATAGAAAAAAATCTGCCCTACTGGGGTGGGCATCTGCTGTCCCCTTCCCCTCCTCAGAAAAGAGGGCAGCAGTGTCTTCTTGAAGACCCTCTGTAGGGGTTTGATATGTAAACATCATAGAAGGAAGGGGGAAGAGACATGCCTTGCGTGGAGCACCCTGAGAGAGGATTTCAACTTCTCCCAGACTTGGGGAACATAGAGAGGCTGCTCTTTGGTGGCTAGAGGATGCCATGCCTGTAGTCAGTCGGGGAGCTATATGAGGGCCTCTCTGAACCTCTGGGGTGTGCCTGCAAGACAGACGGTGAGAATTGGGTTCAGCCAAAGGCGCCGCAGTAAAGGAGGTGGCCACCAGGGCCCATGGCCATGGCCCCCTTGGCCCCCCCTACTGTCTAGCACCACAGAAGCCCAGGATTCGTACAGCCTCCCAGGATTGGAGGAGAGAGCACTCTAATTTTTTGGAGGCTTAATTTTGTTTCGGAGAACTACAGGAATGTGTCGCTTCTTGAATTTGACATTGTGACTTAAAGCGCAAGGTGGACTACATGGTCCTGAGACCTGTGCTGTCCCACACTTAGAAAAGCCCTGCACTCGGTTTAGTGGTCTCCTGTCACCATCTTCAAGCTCTTAATCATTTTTGAACAAGGAGCCCCACATTTTTATTTTGCACTTAGGTGCAAATTATGTAGCCAGGCTTACTATAATGCATCCCCCAGTGGCAGGAGTTTCAAGAGTCTTGTGCCTTTAGGGAAAATGCTCACTGAGGTGTCCTGAGCTGTTGATGAGAAGGCTACCCACTGGCCAAGCCTGCCACCCGCCGCATGCATCAAGACCATCCTACGTCTGCTTATGTTCTTCCATTTCTGTATTACTCGTTCGCTGAAGGGGTTGGTAATACACAGCTTCTCCATGAAAATAGAGCTAAATATAAAGTTAATACATGGTACTATGAAACTATGGAACCATGGTGGTGCATAGAAAGGGTAACAGATGAAATGGAACTGCTCAGGGGGCCATTTTGGGGTGAATTCCAATGGAGAGAGCTCAAAAGTGCTAAGGAGCCCTGGGCAGTAACATATGCGTCACAGTGTCCCCAAAGTCCTCCCAGCAGTGAGGCCTCGCCAAGCGCTGACAGCATGGAGTGTTTTTCCCTGCAGAGTCAGCCCCCTGTGTTCCTTGGCCTTTCATTTATCTCAGAAATGATAAATCAATCCAGAGTCTTTGTATGTATTTGGAACTGAATGATTTGCTTTTGAAGTTGTTAGATCCCGACATGTATAATGCTCTGCAGTTTGTTCCCAGGTTCGTGGGCCTTAGAAAGCCTCCTTTATTGAGTAAGGACACTTTTTTCTAAGGTTTTGAAACTCACACTGCCTCAGCCCAAAGCGTCCAGAAGCATCCTGCAGGTGCTTGAGTGTGTAAGCCTGCTGGTGGCAAGTGCACCCTGGCATGAGGGACTTGGTGTTCATGGTTGTGACCAGGAGCTGAGATACTGGGGCACAGCCTCCCCCAACACAGACTCCTGCACTCC